ATAGAAGGGATAATGGATTCTGGTTTATTACATTTACACTGCCAATGTTTTTTGGCCAAACTCAGCCATCACACACACACACACACTCACACTCAGAGCTTGCACCTTAATTTAGATAATGGTGTAAAATAGACAAGCATGGACTCGGACCAGGTTGATTGTGACTTGAAGCACAGTGACACATTTTGATCTCCCTCGGGAATAGTAGACACTGATTTTATCATGAAATGGAATTTAACAGCTCAGTGACAGATGATATTACTACAGACCGGGGTGAGGACGCCAATCAAACACACTTTAAATTCATGCATTAAAATATAAAAAATATATGTATATACTTGCAAGTAGCAATACCAGGCTCAATCCAGTTATAAGCACCATGAGCAGCAAAAGAAGCTTTGTGACATGTTTTTTGTTAGAGAGAATGAACATTGTATGAAGAGTTAGAAAAAGTAAACTTTCAATCATATAAAAACATGTATTTTAAAAATAACTAAAAATAGCTACTTAGCTACTTACTTACAAGATAGAAATTTTGTCCAGTATGTGGTGCTGTTCTGAATCTGCTCAGGTTGAATCTGGGCATGATGGTTATCATGCAGGTACGCATTCAAGAGTTATAAGCCGAAAAACAAAGTTTTTGCAATCTACTGACCTGTAGGGGGCAGTGTGACAAAATTCTTCCGAAACCCTCAGGGCTTAATGGTGATGACTTGTACCAAGTTTCATCACAATCATCACAAAAAGTGTTTCTTCAGAGTCATTTCAGAGCATGGTGCCAAAGACACATACCAAGTTTTGTAATGATACGCCAAGTCATTCATAAAATACAGCATTTTATGACTAAATTCAAAAAGGCCGACATCCAAAATGGCCGAAATGGTAATTTTTTTCATATCGTTGGACTTGGTATGCCCCATTGAATCTAATGAGACCAACTTGATGACTTTATGACAAACTGTTCAGAAGTTATAAGCAAAAATGTGCTTTTTTCCATGTCTTGTGACCATCATGATGGCTATGACAAGCAATAAGTTGGGTATGTATACGCTAAAGCGTTACGGAGATATACCCTAACGTCCATTTTGCCATGCTTGCCATCGAATTTGTTGAAGCACCATTTGAAAAAGGTATGGATTATACGTTTGTCGTACAAGTCCGAAAAAGTAAGGTTATTTTGTTTATTTATTTATTAAATATTTTGTTTCTAGGATGCATGGGTCAAAAGTTATTAACATTAACATGAGTGCAAATTTGGACAGTTGGTGGGGCTAGAGTGATTGATTTAGAGACTCCAAATTGGCCGTATTAACAGATCAGACTGTCCTCTATCTGTTTGCCAAATATCATAACTTTCCCGCAAGTGTTTCTATGGGCTGCCGAAGACTCAAAAGTAGAAGAAGAAGAAGAAGAAGAAGAAGAAGAAGAAGAAGAAGGAGAAAACTAATGGAAACAATAGGGGTCTTTGTCCCTTCAGGCCTTGACCCCTAATAAAAATATTAAGTATATACATAAAGAGAAATAAATTATAGGGATAAATATAGAGAGTCATGTTAGTGTGGAGTTAATTATTACTTTCCCATTCAACTGGCTGTATTTATTTCTATACTTCCTTCCTTCCTTAGTTACTTAAACTTTTACTTACATACTAAAAGTACTTCTGGATGGAGCTCAAGTATCGAATCTTCTCTACTGGGACTGCGGCTTCTCCGAAGACCATACAGACTTCATTTACATCAATACTGTACTATTTCACACTGTCTGTTGTTACCCAGATGAGGATGGGTTCCCTTCTGAGTCGGGTTCCTCTCAAGGTTTCTTCCTTTAAACATCTTAGGGAGTTTTTCCTTGCCACCGTTGCCACTCAGTGGCTCGCTCAGTTGGGATAAATTCACACCTTTAATATCTGTATACCGTGTTGATATTTCTGTAAAGCTGCTTTGAGACAATGTCGGTTGTAAAAAGCGCTATACAAATAAAATTGAATTGAATTGAATTGAACTTGCTTTACATATCGACTGAAGGGACAAACCCCTGGAAACAAACAACAACCGAAAGAGGCTGTGGTAAAAGCCTGGAAAAAGCACCACAAAAGAAGAAACTGACAATTTGGTGATGTCACCCATTCACAGGTTTGATGCCGTTATTGCAAGCAAGAGGTATGCAACCAAATATTAAGTGTCATTTACTGTCATTTACATCAAGACTTATCTGTTCCTATACTTCTGCTCACCTAACAGTTGGGTGGTCTGATAGAAATACAAAAGGTTCTATGTTTTACGTTGTTTAAGACATCTAGATGTAAAGACCAGGAAAGAAATGCTGAAACCATAAACTCTCATTTCATGTCCATCGTTTGATCTCAAACCCAGAAGTCTTTTTGGTATAGCACAAGCAAATAAATTTGGCTTGCCATTCCAATAGTTCGGAGTGGACTGTGCGTGCTGCACTTGCGTTAATTGCGTATTGCAATTAACACCATTTTCCCAAAAGATACTACCTATGCTGGGGCGGTTGTTGTATGATGGTTGTGGTGGTGGAGCTAACACGGTTGTGGTGGCTAACACGTCGCTTCACTGTCTAAGTGTTTAATTGGATGGAGATGTTATGAGTGTGAAGGTCATAGCATATGATTTACATCATTTTCGTCCTCTGTCCAGTGAGCCCTCATGCCCTGTGGATGGAGGCGGAGTCATTCTGGTAGAGCCCACGCCAATCAGGAGAGAAATGTTTCTGAACTTTGTATTGATTTGCACTGACGCTTCACTCTGAGAGGACAAGTAGAGCCAAACCATGCCAGCAAAAATAAATGAAATAAATAAAAAAACACCCCCAGAGCATAACCGCCATATTTTCTTTCCTTCACTTTGTCTTTCGTGTATATTTATTGGTTAAATACGGCAGGGTTAGCTGTTATGATTCTGTGCTTGTTAGTAGTCTGGGACAGATTACCAGAGAGACCCTAAAGCAAAACCTTTAATCCTCAGACGCTCAGCTCCGTTCGTGGATTGGATTCTGACTCGTAAGTCACTTCAGATAAAGCGTCCGCCAAATGGATACCTGATACTATGGATTTCTCATTTTCTGAAGAGGTTTATAAGAGGTTTTGCCTGAAATGCAATACTGCACTTTGGATTTAGAGCGTCACTGCTTCCCAGATGTTTGACAAAGAGATTCGGTTTCTTCTTGTTAAGCAAGAAAAGACTGGACTAACAACCCTATTAGCCCAGTATTTTCTTGCTTAACAAGAAGAAACATTTTTAACTAGCAAACATTTTTCAACATTTCCATTGAAACATATTTGCATATTTAAAAATTTTTGTCATTCTATATTTATATATATATATATATATATATATATATATATATATATAGGCTTCTACAGGATTTAGTTCATGCTTCTTTTATTTACTAGTTTAGTTTACATGGTCTGGATTAGTTAACATAGTCTAACATTTAAAGGTATATTTGTAATAATGCACAATTTAATCGTAATAAATCTACTTGATTAGTACATAAAGTTACAAAGTTTCATTTTATTAGAAGAGTTACAGTAAGTGTATTGTCATACAACTCTATGGGTAAGAAATTAAACCAAATGGAACTGCATTCTTGTCAATTTCGCAAGAGATCAGTCATAAGAAGGATCTTTTTTTTTTTTAAAGGATGGCAATAGCTGATTACAATTATTAGTCACTTTTTTCGTAATATAAGTGTTAAACATTGTTTCACTGTTTAAACCTAATCTAAGAAGAAAGAAAAGTGATTTTGTTCAACATAACATTGTAAGAAAAAAAGCCTCAATAACTAACTTCACCTCTTATTCTTAACGATTTGTACCCTTTAAACAACCTTTAAAAATTCTTTTAATGTTTTTTTTTTAATGACATTATGATCATGAGGCTATGTCGGTGGTGTATATGTGTTGCTTTATCGTATCTGTTTTTTTGTTTTTTTCTTCTTCTTCCTCATGCTTTATTTTTGGGGTCATAAACCGCGTGTCGTAAAATGAAGTGGACTCCCAACGGGAACAATAGTAGCTGCTGACGAGGATCCTAACAAAACAATAAAAACCTCATTACTAATGAGTTAATATTCAGTGTGCGTGTCGTGTTTGCTTAAGGCCTTGTTCTTGGTCATCAAAGCAAAGCACCATTTATTCATAAAGCAAACACTGACTGCTGTAGTGACTTAATGACATAAGGCTCGGAGTTTGTAAATCTGTAATGAGTAAATCATTTCACACTCGCACCCATGCGTTGCATCACTGTTTGCGTTAAACCCATAAGCACTGAGAGCTGTTCTTATGTTAGCAGATATGAAAACACTGATGTCAATTTTATATAGAAAATAAATCTCGAAATCAATATTCCACCACTAGTGTAAAAGTCAACGTGAAGCTTTAAACCCCTTATCAGCAGTCACTTGTAAGCCACTTAACACTGTGATTACAAAGCCTGTTAAATAGCAACATTAAAATTCAATAGTTTGGCAGACTTTTATCCAAAGAGACTTATAAGCCAGGGCAGACTTTAATTCGCACGTCGGCATTAAAGGTCCTGATCAAGGGCTCGACAGTGGCTCTCTGGCAGTCGCGGGATTTCAGTTTTCTATTTATAGCACTTTGAACAATAGACATTGACACGAAGCAGGTTTATAGAAATCCGATTATAGATTTAGCAGCCTAATGAACAAGGCAGAGGTGAGCGTCACAAGGGGGAAAAAAAACTCTCTGAGACGAAGTGAGGAAGAAATCTTAAAAGGAACCAAACTCGTCCTTGTTTAGGTGACCTCACACATCTGGAAAGGAACACTGATTATGATCACAGACTAAACCTACGGTATACAAGTTTTATCACACTGCATGGATATTATTATATGGTTAGTATTATACACATGGCAGGTGAGTGTTATTGCATCATAGAAAGTCAAAACCAATCAGGTTACAATATGCAAATGAGTGTGCATGGAATATTCACAATTTGTATATCGGTATATACAGTTGTAGTGCAGTGGTTAAACTGCTAGACTAATGATCAGAAGGTTGTGGGTTCAAATCCCAGCACTACCAAGCTTCTACTACTGGGCCCTTGAGCCAGGCCCTCAACTTCTCAGTTGTATAAATGGAAGTCATTCTGAATAGAGTGTCTGCCAAATATTGTAAATGTATATACGTATTATCATGGTAGATATCAAGATGCGGCTGGTATTGATGGTTTCAGTTTTCTAATACATTTCTTTGCTACCCAATAAAGGCCAAAAAATTCGAACTGATCTGATCAAACATTTATATGCATTTCAATAAGCGAAGGTAGGATTTAGTTCGATTTCATACAAATTAAGTCATAAGAAAGGGTATAACTTTTATTTCACTGATTCGTCTTCATTAAGTGCTTTATCCTGGTCAGGATCATGGTGGACCCAGAACCTATCTTGGGAATATGCTCGGGATCGGATACGAGTCTGTCTGAGAGCACCACTCACTGTATATATTAAGGTCTGGTTAACGTTACTAAATGCTCAGGAACTGCTTTGCATAATGAACACACAGAAAGCTACTGGCATTTCCATACCATTCATGCAATAAATAAATTTCAGGATGTTTATCTGATTTGGCTTAGATATTGATTTGAGATCTAAATCACATTTTTGCCCCCTTGACTCATTCCCAATTTTGTCCCTGCTTCAATGTAACATATTTTCTCCATACATGCAGCATTGATAGTTAGCATAGATTTATAGATTCACGGTAAATTGTTTGCCTGTGGACGTGATCAAGCCTTGATCATTTTGAGTCTTGGTTGATCTTACCAGACCCTCGTATTGACTGTGTCTGAAAAGAAAGCCCCTATTCCCACCATGCACTGGTTACCATTTCACCAGGAAATCCCTAATTTGCCTTGCTTTCGCCAATGGTTGGATAACGACGACAACGACAGTAGAACCCTGAGTAAATCCTTAATGGTGCCAAGGCTCATGAAGAGGAAACAAATCTCTGCACCTGCACAATTATCTGAGCTTCGTAGTTCAGGGTTCAATGAAGCAAATAATCCCTTTACACTCCAATTAATCAAGCTCTCAGCTGCAGGACAATTCATAAGAGAGTAAAGGAAATGAAATGTAGCCATATGGTGCTTTTTTATGAGGCCATAAGTTAAACATAAGTTCTACAGAGCTGACTGGGGAAAAGTGACCTTGCTAGAAGGCAGCCTGGGCTATTTGCAGCTTGAAGTGAGCTATAGGACTGCAGTCGATCTCCATCTGTTTTTGTCTGTTAAGGGTCATAGGTCGCCACAAACACAACATGTTGAAGTTGTAACTGTAATTATGCAGAAGATGTAGAGTCCTCTATGGTAGTGGTGTATCAATCCTTTAAAAATGATATGATGTCTTGATTTGTGATCAGTAAACTGTTCCATTAAAGGAAACATTTGACAGTTTGATTTTAAATGGGGAAAAAAAAAATTTCCCCAGAGGCCATAACTCTGAGACCAACAGACACGCAGGCCACCCCTCTTTCAGTCGGACTGACAGGTAAAGAAACCATACCTCCTTCACTCGGACTAACAGACACAGACACAAGTCCCCCTTCACTGGGACTGACAGGTACAAAGGCCACACCTCCTTTACTGGGACTGACAGGTACAGAGGCCACACCTCCTTTACTGGAACTGACAGGTACAGAGGCCACACCTCCTTTACTGGGACTGACAGGTACAGAGGCCACACCTCCTTCACTGAGATAGGCAGCTAGAAAAGCCACATCTCTTTCACTGTGATCGACAAGCAGATTGGCACTGGTGGATGCCTCCTTCACAGGATGTGATATACGGGGGGGAAAAAAGTGGAATATAATTTTTAAAAAATCAACTCTCATAAACAAACCACAACTTCATTGGTTTTAAAAAAAAAAACCCTGATAACTGGAAACAAACCAAGAAACCAAATGCAGACAGGCAGTGAGAAAAGAACATAAAATAACATTTTATTAAGTCCAGTGAGATTTCACAAGATATGTGAAAGCTGAGAGCCAATATTGACTACGCATGCCCGACTGCTGCTCATGTGGAAATGTCAGCACAGACGATGTGCTTGCTCAAGCAGTGTTATGAACAGAGACGTTCTCTCAGGACTTTATGCTGAATTATGGATCTGACACTTTTCTTCATTAAATTACACGATCAATATGGATTTTTTTTTTCTTGCGCAATGTGAGCCTGAATAGCTTGGCTTTCCGGCTGAATGCCTCGCGAGAACAAAAGGAGCGGTGTGAAATGATCAGTTGGCATTTAATTATAACGGGGACAGATGTTGGATGATTTTTTTTAGTGGAATAAAATATATTACAAAACCGATATGGTTTGTCAGTCATATCACAGATTTATTGTAGAGTGTAGAGAGGCCTCATGTTCAAGCTGTTGTGTGTTGTCCCTCAGTGTCTATTTAATTGCTTATACTGAAGTCCCTGTAAAAAATAAATAAATAAATAAAAAAAGCGGGTGGAGGGTAATGTAGGTGATCATTATAATTACAATAATGATCTAATACAGTTTCACACTGCTTTCCTTCAGTCAAGATTGTTCTGGGTCTGTCGTTGATTCTTATTGCAAAATGTGCTCATTTTGTGGTTTAAGGCAACCAATACATAACATAATTGACCTTGTAAGCTCTTTTTTATTTATTTACTTATTTGCCTGTTCGTTTGCCTGTCCCCCACACCCCAAAAAAAACAATTTAACCAATGAAAATCAGAGAAACTAGTCCTACGTCCAACAGGCCATACCGGTTAGAATGAAGACCGTACACAGGGCTGCATTCAGACTTGAGTGACATGCACATAGTAACAAGTTAATACCAAATTCACACCATTGGGCGCATTTAATTTACAACAAAGTGCATCAAATGGAGTTATTTGTATCTCATGGCTTCGTTAAGTTGTGTGCACAATACAAACAATACATATGAACAATAAAATGCAAAGTAATCGGTTGCGCTGGATCAAGTGCTATTTTACAAGCTGACGAATATGAAGGCTGGCCATATTGTTCAATTAAGGCAGATTTGCAGTGAGTAATGTTATCACTACAACTAGGACTATTTATTCAGCAAGTTGATTGGCAATGCACAAGACTCCGGTTAGATGTTTACGTCTTAGATGCTTTTACTGAAGAAAATCTCCCAATCTCAGTGGCACGAGCTACTGTGCATGCAGGTCATTTACACAATACGAATAGGGAGTGTTATGAGTAGCCTGGACATGAACTTGAGTGAATATTGACACAACTTGGACTTAAGTATCTGACTCAAACTGAATACGAGCCAAACTGTTGAAATAACCTCACATAATGCATTTCACAACCGGAACAAGTGAGATAACATTACAAACCTGCAGTACCGAGAAAGAATTAGTCCTGAACTTAGCAGTGAAGTGGAGATTTTATTAATAAAAGAACAACCGTCTCAACAGCTCAATTAGGACACACATGAGGCAAGGCTTTATTGCAGATTAGTACAGACATGCCTCTTACCAGCGCTGTCCTTTAAGGTCCAAAGTTCATGGTGTGTTGGATTCTTAGCCATGCCTAACATTGATTTAACGGCAGTACAACTCTGCAGAGTTTACGCTGCTTCTGCTTTGCTTCAGCACACAGCCATACAGAATAAAGCTATGCGTAATTAGGATAATATTTTGTCTATTTAGGGACATTTACTCTTAATTCTTCATCAAACTTGTTTTGACTGGAATAAAGAACACACCCTTGATCATGGTGATGCGATGACAAACATTGTTGACAATTGTAAATAATATAACCTTTCCTCTCAACAGCTCCTAACGCCGTTCAGCATTGAAACTGTTCAAACACAACAGTAGCTGAGTGAGTCACAGACATGGCTAAGCCTGGATTTACGATTAGTACAGGGCTGAAATCCGATCTTAACCATGTCCGTGCCAAGCCCAAGAGCAAACAATGCAACAGTGCCAGTGCCTGCCTCAACTCGACTCAGTTCCTTAAATCCTGGATCGAAATGAAGCAACTGGTGCAAGTCTGGTCTTCAAAACACTGCATGATGGGTCTTGCTACACTCTGAAATTCAATCATATGCAACAGAGCAACACACACACCAACCTTTCCTGCATTCATCTGCACTTATCTGCACTTATCAAGCCTGTTTGGACAGGTATCCAAAATGATAACATAGCTACGAATGAATAAGTGCTAACAAGGCAATTAGCTTCCTGCTAGTGAGATCATGCTAAGTGCTAGAGCTCTATAATCAATCATATTTTTTTTTCAGGATCACGATTTTAGCCTTTCACAATTATAGCTAAACCATCTCAACATTTGATCGCATATAGATTGTTTCCTGTTACTATAAAACAACAAGATATTAGCGGCACAATAAATTGCCTAAAGAATTATGACAAATCATCATCTGATAACTTTTTTCCCCCCACTCTTAGCCATGCTAGCACATTAAGCGAAATTCAATTAATTTGCTGTGAACGGTGTGTTTGCGCTGCAGACTTGATTCTGCGAGCAGAACATGACATTTAGTTTAACGCTGCTGAACTCTGACTTGAATTTCCATCATCTGTTCAACAGCATGACTGCTATGTTCTTGCTGACATCTTCCCAAGGGCTTTGTATAGTTAACACAGCTGATCCAAAATGAAGGAAGCGCTAATTTAAGCTGTGCATTGGCATGCGAGTTGTATATTTTACATTGGACATTTCAGCAAGTAACGTTCAAGTCCAACACTCCTTAACCTTAGGAGTGTTCATTTGTGTTTACCAAAGTTACTGGACTTCTCAATCTTGAAGATAAATCAAAACAAGCTAATATCGCTAGCACAGTATGGCTGCATGTTAGCACCACACAGTGTAGATGGAAATCTACCACTAGCACAACATGCTAGTATCTACAGTATGTTAATAATATAGCATGGCACTTTCTGTAAAGAAAAAATAGAAACAAATCTCGCTGGGGTGGAATTGGTGGGAAATTTGTACACATTTGTCCTAAACCAACTCAGATACGTTAAGTAGCATCACACCACAACTTCAG